TCAATTTTTAAAACTAAAAACATTATCAATTTTGCATAGTAATGTTCTAGATAATTATTTCACTAACTGATAAAAAAAAAACAGAGAATGAGGTTAAACGTTTTCATCTTTTTACTTATTGGTTTTATTCAATTATCCAATAAAAGCGAGAATATTATCCAGTTTTTTCAATTTTAAAACTAAAAACATTATTAGTTTTTTCATTTTTGAAGTTTTTTTTTTTAATTATAATTTTGCACAACCATGTTTCATCCTTCTTTATAGACATAAAATTTTTAGTTTCGTATAAAAAAAATAATTCAGTTTATTTAATTTTTTTTTCAATTTGAAAGTTCATTTTTAAAGTTTTGGAAATCAAAATAAATATCAAATTATCATATTTCTTTATAAATAATCATAAATGATGAACAATCATTATTTGAAAGGTTATTCTAACTATTACAAATTTAATAGGACTTGAAAGTCCAAAAAATTTTAATTAGAACTTAATGGAGTATAAATTCATAAATTAGGATTTGTGTGTAAATGTCTCATAAAATTTTACTCAATTATTTGTGTTTAATATTATATGAGCCATATTATGAGCCTCATTTTAAGTATTATAACAAATTTAGCAATAAACACGGGGGAAAAAAAATCAATTCACCTTCCTTTAACAAACGAAAGCCTACAAAAACATTTTGAACTGAGTGAAATCTCATTAACTTTGTCATCCAGGTGAAGACCTTTGTATCAACAGTCACCGTTGAGTCAATCTTTAAAATATTTATCTTGCTGAGCTTCATTCAATTTAACCTTCATTCTTCAGCCTATGTATGGCTTCACCTTTAGAGAACCTTTGAGGTTCAAATGAGCTATCAGACACAAGTATCTTTCCATTGTTGACAAGATCGTAATAACCCCTAACCCCCGTTTGATTGCAGGAAAAGACCAAGGAAATGAAAATATTGTAAGATATAGACATGTTTACCAGTTTTAGGATGGCAATTTCTATAGCCAAAACTTAAGGGTAGGTTGGAGCCACTACTGGAGTGGAGATCAAACGACTGTTCATGGATAGAAGAAGCGTGTCTGGGGTTAGGTATAAATCGATTTACAAGTCATGTAATATCGCTTATTATAGTGGATTGACTTGTCACTCCCTAGGGAAAACTGTAACGGTTTAGGTCACATTCCTCAAATATACTCAAGTCCGAGACTCCTTACCTACTCAAAAAAATAATGGATTGACTTGCTAGCAAGGTGCCTGCCGTTTTACCGCAGAGATAGTTTTCTTCAAGGTTTCCATGTAAATCTGTGAGTTCCTGTGGTAATTGATTTTTTTTTTTTGTAACAGACCTGTGGTAGTTGGTTTAATTGCTTTATTTTACTTTATTTTTTTATTCAGTGGATTGTGATCATAGTTTGGGCCAACTCCCGCATCCAAACTTTCAATTCTATATGTTGTTTTGATTTTTAATGGACCGCATAAACTCAACACAATTTTAAATTGATCAGATAATAAAACACAATCTTGCTAGGCCTAGTGGAGAGGTTTCCATCCCATTCAGTCACTAACACTGAACTTTATGATTGAAAAACTTTGAATTTTTCTTCTTGCATTTTTTAATTTTTTAAAACTACAGTGACTTTCCCCGCCCATACGAAATTCCACTTACAAAATTTACCAAAAAATTCCAGATATTGTGTTCAGAAAAGCATATGAAAATATAAATCACAATCGAAAGTTGGAGTTCTATCTTGCTCCCACCAACCAAACAGAGTAAATAAATTCAAATTCCTAGGAACCACAAATTTCCAAGCAAAAACAAAAAATGAATTGAGCAAAAACATTATGAGACAGAGAGGGAAAATAAAGCTTAGCAAATCAAGAAAATATAGATTTATAAGACCTCAAAGAATTATCATATGAGATTGGTGCAAACAAAAACACAAAGTTGGACTCGTATAAGCCCTAATAACCTCAAATTATATAAGACCCACAAGCATTACCAAGCCAAACGACAAGTTTTACATGAATAGCCCAACCAATCACCATATTTGGTTGTTCATCTTTTATCTGTATTTATTGATAATATATTTTAAGGTCTGGCAAATTAGAAAACCAAATAAATTGAAAACCAAAACTAGAATTACAAATCCTTGTGCCCGCATTGTTAAACTTGGTTGTCATTTCCTATTGGTAAATGTGAACGGGACAAATCTTTCAGTACATAAGGTCAAGAGGATATGCCTCATGGTAAGGTGTACACATGCCAGACCTCTTGAGTCTACGGAAGCCAACTCAACCACTAATATGCATTACGTGACCAAAATATCCAAAGCCACATGCCAACAAACTTCCTTTTATTCCGAAACCCATTGGGAATCCAAATGCCTAAACTGATATCCCACAAGGTCACATAAGATATATTAGGATTGTTTGAAATGAAGAGACAACACTTGATTTGAAGAACTAAGAAACCATATCCACAAAATGACTCCATGCAATACCTAGTCCCCTCCTCACTAGAGAAACGGTTACCTGGCCATCTTGCCCAACCAAGCGGTTGAGACCTCTCTACTCATTACTCATAAGTTCATGGTTTAAAATTTAAAATAGAAAACAAATAGGACAAGAAATAGTAGAGAAATAGAGCAAGGAAAGGAAACATCTAAATAACAAGAGGATTCACATACTAAAAATAGAATACCAAAGAAAATTAAAATTGGACCAACATGCATAATTCCATGTTGAGGAAGAATGGATGTTGTATAACTACTACTACTTGGAAAAAACATAACTTGTTCCTCTTAGCATTAGTTTCATTACAAATATTTATATAACATTATCAAAAAAAAATTCTCAAAATATCAACTACTTTCTCATATCAATTTCAGGCTTCGCACTTTGATGGGCCTTAAAAACCTTTCAATGAGTACTGAAGTATACATGGGAACACATTTCTTTACAGAATAACACTGTTCTATATAACTACATATACAGTTTCAACCTACCTTAACTCCCAAACTTCCTAACATGAAAACCCAGGCATTTTAGAATGCGAAATCCCAACCCTGATCCAGCCTAGTTCCCACAATTCATGCTTCTACAAGCAATGCAAGAAGCTGATTCTAGGAGCTACTATTTCCACATACCACTTTCCCTCAATTCACACGCCAATTTTCTTCCATAAATCAATTTCAAAACGAAACTAAATGATTTCGAACCATGTAATTTTGTTCGGAAGTTGATATCCGAACCAAAAAAGTGTATGCACTGAGAAAAATTAGCGTGTGGAAATAGAAGCTCTTCAAATTTCATGGGCAGAAGCTTGCCCGGTTGGATACACAGGGACTTCCATGCAGATAGGTAGAGAAAGCAAATTGCCTTGAGATATTAAATTGGCCATGGATTGTCCACAGCTTGCCTGTTTATCATTTGCTGAAGGGCCTCATACCTTCTATAAATTAGGAAGCAACTAATCCATGATCTTGCCGAAAAAAGATGGGAAAAGAATAGAAAACACATACCTTGAAACATATAGGTAATTAGACACTTTTTTCCATGAGACCATTTGACAATTCCATTTTTTCTCTCCAGATTGCCAGTACTTCATCAGTTCTAAACCGCTGTGTGAATGTCGATTCCTCCAGCGGAGTTGACATCCCATTAGCATAAGCTAGGAGACCAGTATACGCAATCATTGCCCCATTATCAATACAGTACCTGTCATCAGTTGCAAACAACCTTCCACCCCTCTCGGAGCACATGATTCTCATCATCTCTTGCAAGCGCTCATTGCAGCCCACACCACCAACAATGAGAACATCTTTCTTGTCACAGTGTGCCATTGCCCGTTCTGTAATCTCCACAAGCATCGGAAACACAGTTTCCTAAAACAATTTAAATTGAATGCAGAAATTGAGCCACAACTAGATCGTGTAAATATTTAACTAATACTTGCAATTTACAAGAAACAGCCATACCAAATTACCAACTACAAAACCTTTTTCTCACCACAAAATATATATTTTTTTTTAATATTGGAAGCATTCCAAATGATTACCTGAAGGGAATAGCACAAATCTGCAGGGGTGCATTCATTATTTTGTAGCTTTTCCTCAGCAGTAGCTTCAAGATAACTCAGTATTCCACTAAACGAAACATCCATTCCTTTGACAACATAGGGAAGGTCTATAAACTTTTCTCCTTTCTTCGCAAGCTGATGAAGGGGGGAAAAATAAAAAAGCAAATCAAGGAGAAAACATTTATTTATTGCGTCATTTCAAGAACATTCTGTTTGTGAAAAAATAGCACATAACAGCCTGACAGGAGCTAAAGGCTATCTAAAAAAATTTAGAATATATCCAAAACGAAAAATAAGCATAAAATAGCAAACCAAAATCCCAGAGAGAACCTTCATAAAGGAGAGCTATAATGAATCTCAAAGACATAATCTCAACTTACCCAAAAAATCTAAAACTACACATCAACCCTGTAATATCAATGCAGTGCTTTGCTAAAATATAGAAAAACAAAAACAGAGAGATGAAGATATAATAAAAGCCCGTAGTCAATCACATTTTTAAAATATGATAAATAAGAACCAATCAAATAAGATGAAGGTAGACTAAATATATAGGAGAAACATAAAAAAAAAAAAGACAGATAAAGCTTCTATTACCTTTATCGAGCAAGAACTAACAATTAATTGAACCTTGCACTAAGGCCAAGTTTGGCAACTCAAAAATAATCCATCTTTTTATCTTTTTTTCATCACATTACCTCTTTACTTTTCTGCACATCTTTTTGTAAAAAGACAAAAAGTACGCTTATTTAGGCCATCCCAAACAACCCCTAAATTCACCAATATCTACTGCTCGCTGACCAAACTCACAATAGAACAAGAAGCGCAAAAGTTGAATTGTATATAAAATCTATATAACAAGGAAGCTCTATTTTATTTTTTACGGGACTTTTGTCTATTTGTCAAAATATGCACCATCAAATTGATTCAATCCAATGGTTGAGTTTGAAAACAAGGCAGCGTTTGAAAATATTGTACAAGAACATTTCAATGGTTGACATCAATGTGTTATTCACTTTGGATGGTGCAAATTTAGCCCTTTCATCTGCCACTAACTCTCTCACATCTCAAACACGCCTGAGATTAAAAATAAACGCCTCAGAGAAATCCTCCCTCTTTCACCTTAATCATCAGTTTCTCAATGCTCAATAGGTTAGCTCTCATGACTACATTTGTTTCTTCAATATGACTATATTTGTTCATTCCTCATGATATTCTACTTCAGCCCAAAATTTAAGAAATTAGGATACTTTGTCAGTGCTGAATTTATCTGTGAATAGAATCAATACTTTGTTTAACAGAGAAACCTTCTATTTGTTAGTCTACTTTCAAATTCTATTTTTTTCATAGTGTAATGATTTAACTATGTTTATTGTGAAATCTAATCTTGGTATTATTGATTCGTAGGTTATTGATATTGACATGAATAGTGCATCTCTAGCTTAAATGTTATATTATTGATATTGACAGGTTTAGAATTTTATATTATTATGTGTAGTTTTGATTGATCGCTTGAATTAGATGATTTGACTCTTGGTCCAAAGAAACTAACAAAATGCATAGGAAAACAATATGCAACCTTTGTTTTTTCCCTCAATATTTAATGTATATTTGCAATCTCATCATACACCACCAGTTCAGCCCACAAGTGTTTAGATTTTGTTTAGGCTGAAGATTCATAATGGAATGATTCCCACTCACTCCCACTACCCCCTATCTCAGTTAAAATTTTGGTTTTGTTTAATTGGTACAAATGTATTCAATTTCCATGGAATTCAAAAATTTAACAATGTAAGCAAGACGGTAAATTCAATAAACCAAATGTAAATTCAATATCTATAAAATTTTGGTTTATTGAGTTATTGATATAAAAGGTAAATTCATGAGTTAATTTGTTTTAGACTTGTAGAAGTTGAATCGGAGTTTTTATTTACTAAGATTCAAATTCATGGCTTCTTTGTGTTAATGATAGAAATTTGAATTTTCTTTTTTCTTCAGTTAATTGGTTTTGAATTTCATAACTTAATTATTTGGAATTGTAGTATCATCCTGTTCAATCTTTGATTAATCTCATTAACAAAAGTCTTCTTATTTACATAGAATCCTCTAATTGGTTGTTTATAATTTCATCATTATCAGTTGGTTTGACAGAGAAGCCTTCTATTTGTTAGTCTACTTTCAAATTCTATTTTTTTCAGTGTAATGATTTACCTATGTTTATTGCAGAATCTAATCTCTTTTTGTTCTTGGTATTATATATTTTTTTTTGAATAACAACAAAATTTTATTAAAACAGGAAAGAGAGAGAGGACAAGAAGTCCTCTTACAAGGAGAGAAAAAAAGAAGAAAAAGCAAAACCAATCGCAAAATTCTAAACTCCAAGAATGGCAAACAGCAGCCCAATCCCTAGAGATCAAAAACAAATGTACTCCTTTAAAATGAGGAGATACAAATGCCCAAAAAGAGGCCAACTATTCAGCCCTATCCCACAAAGCCTCTACACTTACTTCCTTGTTTTCAAAAATTCGAACATTTCTCTTCAACCATATAGCCCAGAAAATAGCAAAAACAATGACTAACCACATTGTTTTGGCGTTCTTGGTACTCCCAAACCCGTCAAACCGAATAAGAAGCATATGCATGCACTCTCGTGGAGCAACCCACTGCACATCACATAACTTGAAAAGACGCTGCCATAATACTGTAGCAACCGGGCAATGAAGAAAAAGATGATCCGCTACCTCCAAATTACTCTTGCACATCACACACCATTGGGGGCATAGAGAGTGATTAGCCCTTCTCCTCTGAAGAACATCGTTAGTTGTAACACCCTTTTGAGCCAAGAGCACATGAAAAACTTCACTTTATGAGAGAGACCCGCTTTCCAAAGTTTCTTATGAAAAGGGAACAAGGAAACCGAGGGATTATCAATAATCTTATCAAAAAAGGATTTGCATGAAAAGACCCTAGAAGAGACAAGATTCCACACCCTACTATCGGAAGACGAAGAAAAAGAAACCCCCTCGAGCACAACCAACAAAGAAGCCAATTCCCCCGCCTCCCTATCATTCAAGTTTCTAATGAGATCAAAATTCCAAGATATGGGTGCCATAGACGAGCAAGCCACCGACGCTATAGACACATTTGGAGAACGAGCCAACCTGTAAAGAAGGGAAAAAGATCTAGCAAACGAAATAACCCCTAACCAAACATCCTCCCAAAACAGAACATTCTCCCCATTCCCCACTTTGAATGAAAGACAATTAGACACAAGAGGATACAAACGAGAAATGGATTTCCACGGAGAACGACCATTGCCTCTATTAACCACATTAGAATCCCTACCGTTGGATTGAATTCCATACTTGCTTTTAATAATTGAACACCATAACGACTCACTTTCAAGAGAAAATCTCCACAACCATTTGCCCAATAAAGCAATATTCCAAGCAACGATGTTTCCTATAGGCAAGCCACCTTTTGCCCTAGAAAGAGAAACAGTCTCCCACCTAACCAAATGAACTCCTTTACCCTCCTCACACCCTTCCCAGAGAAAATCCCTCATCAATTTCTCAATCTTTCTTGCAATGCTAACCGGAACTTTGAAAAGGGACAGGAAATAAATAGGAACAGATCCTAATATGGATTGTACCAACGTATACCTCCCTCCCTTAGACAACAAAGCTCGCTTCCATCCCTCCAATCTTTTCCTAATTTTGACAAGAACAGGTTCCAAAAAAGACACCAATCTAGGATCTCCTCCCAACGGAAGCCCTAGATATTTGAGGGGAAAGGAATCAATTGAACATCCCAACATGGCCGCCACTCTATGCACATGACTATCGGCCAAATTAATACCCACAACACTGCTTTTACTAAGATTGACCTTGAGGCCTAACACTATTTCAAAAATTCTTAGAATCTTCAGCAGACTCCCCACCTTACTTTCCTCCTTTAATGACAAGAAAATAGTATCATCCGCAAATTGTAAGTGAGTCACACCTATCCTATCCCTTCCCACCACAAACCCTTCAATGACACCCTTATCCTTAGCTAAATCAATAATCCTACCCAACACATCAGCAACTAAAATAAACAAAAATGGTGATAAAGGATCACCCTGTCTTAGACCCCTAGATGCTTGGAAAAAATCCCCCGCCTTGCCATTCACAATAATTGCCATACTGCAGGACGACAAGCACCCCCAAATCCATTTCCTCCACCTAACACCAAACCCCTTCCTTTCCAAAACAAAATCCACAAAACCCCAATCAACATGGTCATATGCCTTCTCAAAATCTACCTTAAATACAATACCCTGCTTACATAGTCCCCCCTATACTCCTCCACAACCTCGTTAGCCAGTAAAACTATATCCAAAATCTGCCGACCCTGCACGAATGCACCTTGTGCCGAAGAAATAGTTCCCCCCAGGACAACTCTTAGCCTTCTAGAAAGCACTTTAGCTAAAATCTTATAAAGAGATGTGACCAAGCTAATGGGTCTAAAATCCCCAATCTTAATTGACTTCTCCTTCTTGGGAATTAGACAAATGAAGGATGCATTGGTGCACAAATTAACCTGCCCACTCTCAAAAAATTCAGAAAAAAACCCTCATAAGATCCCTTTTTACAATTTCCCAACAATCCTAAAACACTACCATTGAAAAACCATCTAGGCCAGGAGCCTTGTCTTTGTCGTACTCAAATACAGCCTGTCTCACCTCATCTTCGTCGAAGAGTCTTTCCAGCCAACTAGCAGACGCTAAATCCACTGGGACCCAATTAATGCCTTCAATCCCTGGACGATCCACACCCCCATCAGAGTATAGATTTGAATAAAAATTAAAAATTTCCTTGACAATAAGCTCCTCCTTACACACGACTTCACCTGAAGCCACTTCCAAATTCTTAATAAAACTCTTCTTCCGCTTCCCCAGCGCAACTCTATGATAAAATCTAGAGTTGGTATCACCCTCTCTAGCCCATTTCAACTTAGCTCTTTGACCCTAAAAAATTTGCTCCCTAAAAATGATCTCCTCCAACTTCATTCTTAGCATTGACCTCCTATACCTTAACGTTTGAGATAAGCCCTCCCCGGCCTCCTTCACATCTAACTCCCCAATCTCCCGAACTAGTTCTGCTTTCATCTCACCCATATCCCCAAAAACTTCACGTTTCCAAATTTTAAGATTTTCCTTGACTTCTCTCAACCTTCGCATAAACTTAAAACCCTCCCATCCATGGACACGAGCATTTTCCCACCATTCCTTAAAGAATGCCTTGAAAGCACGATTTTCCAACCACATATTCTCGAACCTGAATGGGGTTGGACCCCATTTAAAATAACAGCTCTCTAGAATCACAGGACAATGATCTGACACCACTCTAGGCCCTACCTCTTGCCTTACATCTGGAAACAACTCCTCTCACCCCAAAGTATGAAGAAACCTATCCAACCTACAGCACACCCGATTTTCCTGTAGATTAGACCATGTGAATCGCGCATTACTCAGAGGAAGATCAATCAACTCACACTCCCTGATAAAAGAATCAAAGTCCCGCGTACTCCTATTTGTAGAAACCCCATTTAATTTTTCGGAAACTTGCCTAACCACATTAAAATCCCCACCCACACACCAATAAGGAGAACAAAGCCCAAATCATCCCACCAACTCATCCCACCACTCCCGTCGATCCCCTGATCTATTAGGACCATACACCCCTGTCAACCACCATTCATTATTATCCCTTTTCCTGAACCTAATAGACAAAGAAAATACCCCAACAACTACCTCACACTCCACTACAACTCTCTCATCCCACATAATCAACACTCCCCTGATCTACCCCTAGAAGGCAGTACAGCCCATCTCCTAAATCGAGTCCCCCAAACACTTCTAATAAAAACCCTATCACACTCCTCACACTTTGTCTCTTGAAATATAACTATATCTGGTTGTTGAATTTTCAAAACCTCTTTAACTACCGCCATTTTCCTACGAGACCGTAGTCCTCGAACATTCAAATACAGCTTCAAATAAATACGCCAGAGGTGCTTCGTGACTACAACAGTCATCCTGGACCCAATTGGTTGGTGCGACAAACAGTTCATTCAGCATTTCCCAACTTTTGCCTGGTATGACTTTCAAAGAGCAAGAGCACTTTAAGCCCAAGCGCATGGATGCCACAAATTCAGCTGGAGGTGAATCAAGTGGGCAACTCAAGAAAAAAAATAATGAGAAGTAACTGCCCTACGTGTTTCTAGAAAATTTTGAAAGGTGAGAAGGTGATGTAGTTGAATCCCAAGTAGTTTGTATTGAGACTTCATTAATTGTTGAAGTGAATTTGAGAATGAGTTTGGCTTCATGTCTGTATATGATAACATTGTCATGATCAAGTTTTTCTTTCTTGCTTGTTCTTCAGGACCAGTTGACAACATTTCTTGATTCACTAGATTTTACACTCCCACTTGTTTTCTGCATTTTTGACATTTGGTACAACAATCTGATTTCTATTTGGTATGGTATCTGTGAGCAAACAGTTCACGAGAAGGCTTCTGTTATTTTGGTTGGCATGCTCCTTGAATAATTTATTCATTACTTGGGTGAAAGCAATTTGTTTTTTTTTTTGGTTTGTTTCAGTTCTGAGTTACTAAGCTAATAAAATGGCTATTTTCAAGAAATGCGGGGCAACCGAAAAGCTTCATTTCATCAGAAAAGTAGGCAAGGAAATGTAATAAGCGCACACAGAAAGAGCATATGTACCTTGAGAGCTTATAGCTCATCCAATAAGACAACAAAACACAAACCAAGCTATACTATAACCAACATAAGATATCAAAGGAGCTTCTATTTGCACACTACACTTCCTCTGGGTGCACACCATTTTCCCAATTATTAGTATAATTATTATTTTTATTTTAATTATCATTGTGTCCCTCAAGCAAATTACCATTTAGGACAAAAATCCACTCCCCCTCAATCTACCACCGCTGGCTGCCACCTCCTCTCAATCCTACCACCACCGCCAGCCACCACCACCATGAAACTTTGATGCAGCGGCGAAATGTGAATAGCAAAATCTGAAGCAACAAGAAAATCACAACTCTTCTATAACTCTGTTGAATCTAAAGACTTCCAGAATAATAGGAAAATAAGAAACTCTCAACGAAATTGTATATTAATTCCCAGATCTAGGAGGAAGGAGGAGGTAGGAGGCTGAGTTTTCAGACCTGAAGAAGGAGGTGGGGCAAGGTACAATGGAGAGGAAGGAGGAGGTAGGAGGTAGGAGGCTGAGTTTTCAGACCTGAAGAAGGAGGTGGGGCAAGGTACAATGGAGAGGGAGGAGGGGCTAGCTCAGCTGGTAGAGCAGAGGATATTCAATACTCCACTAACTCAAAATAAAGAACTTTTCAGGACATGTGAAACATCAGAGTAACTATAACCTAAACCACTGTTGGGGAGAAAATGTAGGACTTTACACACTGCAGAATCACAGATGGCCTAGCGACCAAGGACCTGTTGTAAAATTAAGACCTTGACTGACAGCAACCACATAAAATATCAAGTCTTTACCTCCCAAACAAAAGAACATCTTAAAAACAAAGAAAATTTAAGTTAAATCAAATCACAAGTTACTTATTATAGTTTATTTTCACTTTGAAATCCTTGATTATCAGCATCCCACCCACTTCTATACCATGGTGATGATCCTAACATTTTGGTTAATGTCTCCTCTCCTTCATCACAAGAATCCAAATCATTTCTAGATACGTTGTCATCATCAAGATCTATTTCACCTACAGATGGGTCTTCATCTAGAAAATCATCTTCAGTTTCAGATAGTTCATGATCTGTGGAATCAATCTCTGCCTCTGAAAGAGCTGGGGAAAATCCACTAATAGTTGAGTCAAGGTTCCCTTCTACGGTAGGTTCAATTCTCTTTGGCTCCTCATTGCCTCTTTTTGGACTGTCAAGAATTGAGTTGGGACTCCGACTATTTGGGCTGCCATAAAGTGCAACGTGTCTGTAATATAGTTCTAGTTCCTTCTCAGCAATCGAAATGAAGTGTTTCACGGACTCGAGTGATTGCTTGTACTTTGACTTTTCCAGTGCCTGGAAATACAGAAAAAAATTAATATGTTGAGCAAGAGAGAAAGTACTAACACAGACAGAGAAGTAATATATCCAATATTGAGACGGAGAACCAGCCCAATTTCCTCCACCCTCAAGCAGTCTAATTTTGACTCCCTAGTTAATTTGAGCATAGAGTGATCATTCACATGACAAAGCAAAAGTTGCAGAACCCGAGGTTATCCAGCAAAGAAATTTAAAAAATAAATAAATAAATTATACCACCAACAGTTCTTATTTGATTTTTTTTTCTTTGGTTGGAACAAAACAATTCTTATTTGATTAGACTAATCAAGCAGAAATGACTTTCATGAGCTACCATTAAGATTCATGCGTTCACCATAAAAACAATTGCATGAATGGCATTAATTATGGTGATAATCATTTTTACTAAGAGGACCTTTTCGGTCAAAAATAAAATAAGACTATATAATTGAGAATATAAGAAAATAACAAAACCTTCTAGAAAATCAAAAGTTGGAAAATATACCCTTTTCTTGGACAATGTATCAATCGGCAACATAACTTCTGGCTGCACATAATTCTTTCCTCGGTAAAAGATTATGGTGTCATCTCCGATTATGTGAATTGGAATTCCACCACTCAACCTGGCAATTTCATTTGCGTACTCGTGTACCTGACCAGGTTTACAAGGTTTGCAGATGGCCTCGACAGTTTCATGTTTCTCCCAATGCATATGCATGTTAAGAATCACACCTCCAAAGATTCCTCTTCTCCCAACTGGTACATAGTTAGACCCTTTCTGGGCCATCTTTTTCAAATAGAACCTTTCCTCACCAGTTAAGTCATGTGGTTTAGGCGCAGGACACTGTAATTTAGGAACTTCATACCGCTTAGTCTTTCGATCAGCATGGCTTCCTTAATTTTTGCCTGGAATGGAACACTCAGAACCAGTATAAGTATAGATTTCAAATGATATAATGAAACAAAGAAAACAGAAGGTAAACATTGTTTCAATTTTATTTTTTAAATTTGTATCTTTTCTGGGAGGCTGGGCACACAGTGAGAAAGAAATATACCAGGATATACGCAACGAAAAATTTTCATCGAATTACTGTAATTTAGGAACATCATACCGCTTAGTCTTTCAATCAGCATGGCTTCCTTAATTTTTGCCTGGAATGGAACACTCAGGACCAGTATAAGTATAGATTTCAAATGATATAATGAAACAAAGAAAACAAAAGGTAAACATTGTTGCAATTTTATTTTTTAAATTTGTATCTTTTCTGGGAGGCTGGGCACACAGTGAGAAAGAAATATACCAGGATATACGCAACGAAAAATTTTCATCGAATTGATGTAGTCATTCAATAATTGAATTGGGAGGCATGGTGATGTGATAAATTAACTTTCAAAAGCAATTAGACTCAACTTCCTGATTTCAGTCCATTTACTCAAATAAGAAATTGACTTAAGTTCATTTTAGGCAAAACCCACAAAAGGGGGTAAGGTATCTCTCAACCCCACGGCAGTTCTGACTCAACAGTGACAAACAACTTATTTACTTTGAAAATAACTGAATTAAATAAGACGTGCTTATAGAGACTGATGCATACTCTTTTTCATACCTATGTGATTAAATGATGGTGAAAGAACTAAAAGAGAGGCATCCACAAGAAGACCAGCATTTGACTAAGGCGTGTGAATCCAAATCCCAAACTCACCAATTTCTTTTTTCTCCTTACCTTCCAAGCTAATTCCAACAAGGGTGCAAAATATATCAACCCACAAGAATAATGTTAAATGTTTAAAACTGTCCAAAACTACAAAATGTTTCCTCATTCATCAAACCGCCCCTCAATTATCAATTCCTCCAAAAATTTGAATCAAAAATTCCAAACGCATTACTTTTGCACCCATGAATAGTTATAATTATAGCACGGAACCACATCCTACATAACATAAGCTATCTAACAATGGATGAATGAATCAATCATGTTCAACATCAAACATGTCATCATAACCAGAACTACTACAAATATATAAACAATTTGCAGTAAAATTGAAAAGAATAACTAAAAGAAATGACAAACAAAAATGATTAAAATTTTCAATGAATAACCCAATATAATATATAGATTGTTACATTACAACAACTCAATCACACTCACTTTTTCAAGTTTATCTTTGATTCGCTCCTCAGCATTAGCAAACTTCTTCTTTTTCTTCCCTTTTACGCCGAGCCATCGTGGGTCTCTCTTATTGGCCGCTTTTCTCTTTTGCTTTTCTCTCATCCTCTGTTGCTTCAACCTCTTCTTAGTCTTCCACTTCTCCTTCTTCGGAGGATCGATTTCATGGGTCTCGAACTTGGGTTTTCCCTGGGATATCACGAGATTGACTGAACCGTGGCTCAAATTTCTGAATACCCACCAAGGGTTCGATGGAAAGAATGAAGTTTGAAGTCTGAATGGAGCGAAAATTGGATTTGATTGGTGGAAAATTGGCCTGGAAGACGAAGAAGAAAATGGTGAGCATACAGTGAAAACAGGGATTTGGGAGAAGGGTAGAGAGTATGGAGAGAGTTATTACCTGGAAGTGAGAGTATTGGAGGAAGAGACGACGTTGAGAAGAGAAGTGAAAGAAGAAGCTCTACGGAGGCTGCGAAACAAAGGGTTTCCCATGTGAGAGGGAGAGAGAGAGAGAGTGGCAGAAGCAGAGGACACTGGAAAGGGCAAAGGCCCTGTTTGGTGCACTTAAAACTTATCAATCAAATTTAAATTGGTAAATTACACTCACCTCATTAAAAAAAAAAAAAAATAAATACGATCTACTATGTTTGGTTTGAGTTTTTTTAATTAAATTTTTTAAAAATTAAATTTTTTAATTTTCGAATTTTTTATTTTTAGTGAATATTTTTAAATTTTTAAATATTTTTTTATATTTTTTTAAATACACCTTACTTAGATGTATCTAAAAAGTAAAAAATTTGTGAAAAAATATTTATAATGAGAGAATTAGAGATATGCTTTTAGGTTACGTAAATTGGTTAAAAATGATTTTTTTAATAAATTAAATATTTAAAACAAATGATTGGGCTTGTGGCACACATGAGGCATGGTGTAGAGTTCATGGGGGTGGGCTTTCGATGTTGCGAAACAATTTGACGAGGACATTTTGGGGCTATTTTTTTTTCATTTGTTGGGATTTATGGTCATTTCATAGTCAAGTTTTATTTAATAATGTGTCGTGGTATGTGGAAATTACTATCAAAATGGTTTGTGAACTGTTATTGGATTTTTACACTGTACTATTTGTCCCTCCGGATTATTAGTTCCAAATCTATTGAATTATTATGTTCCACGGAGAGGGTGGGACACAAATGGAGGGATAGGGGATATAAGATTAGGTGGCGAAATGACTATTTTGGCCATCTATAATTATGTATTATATTTAGGGATTGTTTGGGATGTCCTAAATAAGTGCACTTTTTATCTTTTTGAACTAAAAAGTCGAGGAAAAAAATATGGATGGTTAGGTTAACTTTTTATTTTTTTACGAAAAAATATATAATAAAATTTTGTATAAATAAAGTGTATAGTCGAAGAAAATTAATGGATTGTACAACTCTCTTGCAGTTGCACAGCATGTCTCCACAGAAATAATTGCCTCTTTCGGGGCAAATAACTTTTGGACAGTGATGGTCGGTCTGTGGAGGTCATCATGGGTCCCATTTTAATAATCTGAACCGTTCAATATGTACAACTCGTCGACTATTATATGTCTATAAAATATCACATTGATCGGATATCGATAGCTATATGATTGGTTTAGTTTTGTTTAACAATTAACTGTTACACCAACCATTTTGTTTATACAAAACTGATTTGATCATATAATTAACGATATCCGATCACCGTGATTTTTATAGGCATATATTACTCGATAAGTTCTACATATTAAACGGTTCAGATTATTAAAATGGGATCCATGGTGGCCCCTACAGACCGACCATCACTATCCAAAAGTTATTTGCCCCGAAGGAGGCAATTTTTTTTTTTGCCCCAAGAGAAGTGTATGATGGCCTGCTTAACGGCTGCGATGTTGTTAGTGAATTTTTATTATAAAAATATATAAAATATTTTTTTAATATTTTTTATTTATGAATAATAATGACATTTTTATTTTTTGTATAACTTTTTAATTTTTTTAATTATTTTAAACTTACCAAACAAGCGCTTAAAATAACTAACTTCTTAGATAAAGCCAACATACCTAACCGAAGGAAACATAACCATATGTTGAAAAAAAAAAAAACCAAACCAAACCCAGGCCCAACCAAATCAAATCAAACCAAACTCCCTAGCCCCTAGTCCCTCTGACGCAACCCATCCTTGGCGTTTTCGTCGCGACCCTCTCTCACTATCTCTCTCTCTCTCTGGCCCCGGCGACCTCACCGAGTCAGTCACCCCATCTCTCTCCGTACACTTCTCTCAATACCCCCACCCACCTACACCCCCCCCCACACATCATGTCCCTCACGCTTCTCTCTCGTCAACCGGCGTCTCATCGCCGCTCCTTTCCCCTTCCTTCTCTCTCTTCTTCTCCCTTTTCTCACCACCACTACCACCACCATCTCCGATGGCTGAATTACAATTCTCAACCCCCCAACCACCGCCCTCCCCTTCTTCATAATATCCCAAACAAACATAGGATTCATATTTTATCCAACCAAATAGTCATTTCCTGACATCTAATCACATGACTAAACAAACATAGGATACACATCCAGTCCAACCAAATAATCCGGAGATAATATATCCTAGGACTAACAGTCCGATAGATTCCAATCCCTCCTTATCCAATTCGTCTAAACAAATACACCCTATTGTACTATTTTTTCCACTAATTCGCAAAGCATTTTATGGATAACATAATTTAAATAAATCACAAACGAACTTGTGACTTAGGAATATTTTGGGAAGATGGTTAAAAGCTATTTTTTGACTTTTTCGTGGGAAAATTCTATTTCCACACACTATTTTATCTCTATATACATAATTTCTCAATAGACACACTTATGAAATTGGTTTTATATTTTTGTTCTCAGTTCACACATCACATGTTCCAATTATACCCTAAACTAACATCTTTGTACACACACCACCTAAATCATTTGTTCCACAGTGTAGACACATTTTCTATTTCATTCACCTTGAAGACACAGCAACATCAAACTCCATTGAAAAAGACCCATAGTGACTCCATTGAAGACCTATTGCATTGTTGAAAGTGAGCATCTCCCTCCTGTTTCGTTTTTCGTCTATCTGCACTCTTTTGACAACTCCATTGAAAACTTACAACTCCATCTATATCTGATTTTTCACAAATCCTTGTTTTTTGCTAGAAAAAATTCGACTTTGCTCATTTGGTACTAGTTATCTGAATGAAAAAAGTTTATTCGATTTTTAACTTTTGAAACACATGAAGTTGAGTTTCAAATTTGGTTTTCAGAACTTGATTTTTGAATAGAATCAATAATTCTGGCAATTGATATCCGAAAAAAAGTAGGCTATGATGGCTAAATTTTGGTATGAAATGATCATACTAGGTCTTGGATTCGAGTTCGTAGACTATGCCCTTCACCAACTGAACACTGATCTTTCACTGACGTTGTTTCTTGACTTCCATCTATATTGAAAACATGGAGTTCTTATTGTGTGGACTAAACTCTTTTTGGCTAATCCAAACACAATAAGAAGAAGACGAAACTGTTTGTCTTAGATTTGCAAACACTTGAGGAAACTATTGAAAACTACAGGGTCATGTATTGATATGAAAGTTTGTGACTTTTTCATAGATTAGTCGTTGCGTTGGCTTTGAAACTTGTAAGTACACACACTAGAAATTTAATAATCCTTTCACTTTATTTAAAGTAAGAAATAATGACGAAATTAGGGTTTATTTTTATTTATTTTTTTTACTTAAAAGATATGTACTGAGATTTTTTTTTTTATTTTAAAATGATGTTTAGAGAGAAAATTTTGATTTAATATTATGGGTGTGTTTTGATATCCATTAGGGTCATTTTACTCTAGGATATAATTGTTATCAAAATAATATTTCATTAAGTGTGTGTACTGAGATAAGTAAGTGTGTGGAAATAGAATTTATCTTTTTTGTGAGAGAGGAAAGTGGGTTAAAAGTTGGGATAATTCTATTTCCACACACCAAAACATCTCGTTCCACATTTTCCTCAATACACATACCAACTAATTTTGAATTTTGTAATTTTACTCAATGCACAATCTTTTTTGCTAAAATTATCCCTCTCTTTGACATTGAAACCCTAAACCAACACCCATTTGTAAGTGTTATTTCTTCTCCCCTACTTTAGTCTTGAGAAGAATTTTCATTTGTAGGTGTTGTTTCTTCTCCCCTGTAAGTGTTGTTTTCTGCATTGCAATGAGTATTCCTGGTATTATTTTCTTTATTTCAACACATTATTTATGTGGGCTGCTTGACCAATTTCATGTCATTTCTACATCTGTCATGCACTAGGTGTCTTGGAAGCCAATTTTGTTGAACCAACTCACGATAAACAGAGCTTTGAGCGAACAACTGAACAATTGCACTGGCTTAAGATTAGTTGTGAAGCAGAAGAGTTACTGGTCTGTTTGTTTATTTATATATCTATTTCATTTTCCTCCATCTATAGGTTTCATTAGTGTGGCTGAGTTAGGAGATGGAGATCAGTGTGGCTGCCATGGATTCTGAGCTTCGAACGATGAGAGGAGATGAAGAAATTAGGGTTTTGATGGAGAAGATAAGGACACTTTAGTAATTTTATTTTAGGACAAAGTTGTAATAAAAAAATAAATCATTAAATGTGCGTGCAGAGATAGATAAGTGTGTGGAAATAGAATTACCCTAAAAGTTGGGAAGTGACTTTTAACTCACTTACCAAAATAGGCCTTAGTGATTTGTCCATAGTTAGGTAAGATTTTGAAATCTGACTGAGTATGCTTTTCAATTTAAATTTTGGCAATTATAACATCTTGTGGCCAGCGACAAACTTCACTGCGAGTGAATATTAGTTGAAGTGCATGTTAAACTGGCAGGACACCTCGTGGGAAATTACAGAAAATAAAAGAAAAAACTCAAATAAAAGAACATTATCAAAGTGTACATAACAAAGGAAAAATTTTCGTAACTTGAATTGAGCTGTTTCGAATGGGTAAAATCACTGTTTACTAGTTGACTAGCCGGACGATTACTCAAACGACCAAGTAAAATACTTTTTTATCGCGGTTGTTACTTTATCGATTGTGACTATCAGCCTTTTCACCGAATGATCTGTCAAACGACCGACTAAATGACTAGCTAAATGACCGTCAAAATAAAATTCGAACCAATCAAGAACAGCTCAAATTCGAACTAAACAGCCATGCTCTAATAAATAATAAAAAATGTGTGACCAAAATTAGTAAAGCGAAGGATCCTCTAGAGTATTTTTTTCCTAAAGTTTTCTAGAGTGGTGCATTGTGTGGTTGAGATTTAATGACAAGTCACTCCAACTTTTCAACATTAAATCTCAACCACACAATACACCACTTTAGGAAACTTTAGGCAAAAAACACTCTAGAGGATCCTTGGTGAGGCAATTCACCCTCACTCGTGTCGC